CAGATAAATAAATTCCTTGTACTCACTAGACCCCTCTCCTCCTTTTCAAAACACTTCCTTATGGATGTTCTAGCTGTAAATTACAGATTACAGCATTAGAAGCTCTCTGGCCAGAGATGCCAGATATTTTTCTCCATTCATCATTGCCTGCTCTGCTCCCTGTGAATTCAGGAGCACCAAGGGCATCACTAGAACTTCCAGCATGTTTAAATATCAACTACATTGACAGCTTTCCATTCTAAAGATAATGTCATTCCAATACATCTTTAGTATATACCCCATTCCCCAGCACCTGAATGGGCTTGGCAGGTTCCTGTTTATGGTATGCCAGAGCCAGCTGAATGGCCTCCTTGCTGCTGCCTGGCTCCTGGGCTTTCAGCCATTTCTGCATGTCCACTGGAAGCACACTGAGAAATTGCTCCAGGATGACCATGTCCACAATCTGGTCCTTGCTGTGCTCCTGAGGACAGAGCCACTGCAGAGCTGTGGTATTCAACCGGGACAGAATCTCCTGTAGAGATTCCCCAGGTAGGAGGGTGGACAGGCGGAATCTCTGTCGACCGGCTTCCCGATTAGCCTGGATTGAAGGTGAATTCAGAGCGTGTTTCTCTTTACAAAGAGCAGGGTCTGGCATGGAAGTTCTGTCCATAGAGCTATCAGCGAACTCCTGAAAGCCAGGAGTTGTGAAAGCTGATGGTATAATTGGCTCTTTAACAGTCGTTTCAAAAGCAGTGACAGGTTCCCGTAAATTGGGTGAAGGTTGGCGGGTTGCCTTCAAACATGTTCTCAAACGCTGTATTGTCTGACTTGGATGGTTTGTACACCATTTCTTGGTACGAACTTCTGACAATGCATTACAACTCGCTGTATTCATTTTAGGGATTGATTCTGGATCCATGGTGATTGTTTTCATGCCATATGGCACTTGGTCAGGTTCCGTTGGCATCCTGGTGGGAGGATGAAGATGTGGCCAAGACTTTATAACTTGGTCGTGGCTGGTGTGAGCCCTTCCTGTACAACAGTATTTGCGGTATTCAGCACACTTCCAAAATGTTTTGTTCCCACTTGCACGCACTTTCTTATACAGATATCCCTTATAAAACAGCTGATCCTTACCTTTGTCATCCTTGATATACTGCAAGGACATTTTCACAGTGACACCGTATATGTGGAGGAGCAGAGACAATGGCTTTACAAGTTATAATATAAGACAGAGGAAACCAGACATGTAACGAAAGAAATTCCTTGCTATAATGATGTGCACAGATAACTCTTCCGGAGAGAGAAAAATCAAATAGTTACCGAAGAATGAAAGACTTCCTTCTGGTCCGCTCAGGCTTTCCCGTTAACCCCTCAGAGGCGAACATGAATCATGCTGCTCCCATTTTCCCCAGGTCCTAAGGTTGACAGCCGAACCAGATCTATAAATTGGCTCCTACTCCTTGCAGAGCACAAAAGAAGTTGCCACCACCTTTCGACGCAGCCTTCCTCGTTCCGTGTCAGTTCTTGTTCTCCGTCACGTTACTTAATGTCACGAGTCTAGCGCTTTGAATTCTATTTGGAAATGAAGAAGCTAAAACCGACTAGCTGTACTCCTAACAGTTTTCATTCTGGTCCGAATCTATCGCAATTAGCTGAATAACCGGAGATGCCTTATTTAGCCACGCCTCCTTCCATTTTAACGGAATAAAGGCGGAAGTCCCATCACAGGGTGTTGCCTATCCAGCCGTGAATACTGTATATGAGCGACTAGAAGTAATCCTGCGCGAAGGAAAATTTGCCTGGATATTTAGTTTTAAGGGCCTCCTCGTGGGGATATTCCGTAATTGTACGCATTTACCTTAGAACAGATCCATTGAACTTCAGGCTTTAATTTTTGGGAAAGATTATGTTGGATTGTGGCATAAACCTGTTTAGGATCACATATTGCCCAAACCCAAGATTTGCTTTTTTGGTTTAGTAATCATATGACTAATTATATTTTTTTCATCTTTCTTATTCCTTCCTGTAATTCTTAGGATAAATACACGATTTAACACTAAACATTTTAGATCAATAGGTAAGTAAAGGGACCAAAATATTTGTTTATTTGCAAATATCGCTCACTGTTTTATTTCATTCTTATAGGGGAAGATCCATTTATTTATTTATAATCTTCAAATCTTTCATATCCAAAAGAAATCAAAACATCATCTCCTTTTGGCACTGCAAAATTTAGAAATGCAGAACATTTTAGCATTTGTTCCACCTCCATGATTGTAAATGAAGAAAAATCTCAGGAATGTAAACAGCTAAATCCAATTTTCGAAGAATCTCAGCCTTCTTATCAAACATAACACAACTTTTAAACTTAACTAGAGTTATGAGACATAATACCTATGCAATGTCTGAAATAGAATAGTTTATTGGACAAGTGTGATTGGACACAACAAGAAATCCCAATTCAAGGGAAGCAGCTACAGAAAGCAGTTGTTACTCTGCATAGCTTTCCCAACCTTTCCCGTAATTCGCAGAAGTGAAATATTTTGCTAAACTGAAGTTTGTCAAAATAAAATAGATTTCAGTAAATTTGGTTTTAAGCCTTTGATCATTTGTTTCCAGAAACACAGAACACAGCTGTAGGAAGTGAGAACTCTTAGTCTCACTATAGCTGCTTGGTAAGAAAACTCCTTGGATTTAGATCTATGCATTTCTAGGACTCCAGTATGGATGCGTTTGGCATGGCTTGACATAAAACTGGGCAAAACTCCAAAACCATATGAAATTAAAACACAGTACTTATAGATACACTGGAGCATGTTTCCCAAACTTATAAAAGCTGAGTTTATTTTATTTTATTTAAAAGAAAAATGAGACTGTGAGGAATCGCTCACTCCTATACTCCAAATGAGTCCAAAGGAGGTATACTCAGAACAGGACCTCATACAGAGAAGCAGCGGAAGTATTCCTGTCATGACAGGAGTTGCATATGCTGCAGAAATGGCACCATTACCTGAGGAATGTTCAGAGCCCTCCAGCAACAGCCTTTTAATACATGTATTTCACTCAACGTCCTAGAAATGAGTCAAAGGAGTATAATATATTAAGACATATGAACTTTCCCAAGTACATATCTTCTGGGTCTCTTGAAAAAGGAGAAATCTAGATCCTGTGTTTTTCAGGGGATAAACTTCCTCATGACAAAATGTTTTGTTTTTCAGTGTTATATAATCCTGAGTATGAAGAAAGCTGCCTTTTAATTATCACCACTCAATACAATTCTTATTCATCCTCCATGTGTAGAGCTCCATGTGCTGGAAACTGACCTCACCCTAAACGTCGGGGGAGGCATATCCAAAACAGGTAGGAATTGAAGCTGATGATGACTACACAGTTCAAAAATGCAGTTTATCAGGAAGGAAGAATCAAGGTTCGAACAAATGCTAGATTGCATCTTGAAACTGCAGTTTCCTTCCCTCCATTTTTGACTTGTAAATTATTTTTCTGGCTCCTGGTTTGACTAAAAGAATGTTCTGAATAGCAGCATCCTGTTTCCAGAAGTAGGGAAGTGCAGCCCTGCTTGGCAAATATGACACATCTTTCTGGCTCTGTGGAGCACAACAGTGAAAGCTGTTAATGAACAGTGAAAGCCTATTAATGGCTGTTACTACCATTTAAAACCTGGGCCAGCTAGACAAGAGTGGAAAGTTAATCAATATAATGTGCATTTAATAGTGGCATACAAATAGAAAAGTAGTAGCATTATGAAATTGTCCGTGGAATACGGCCTTCCAAGAAACTCAGTTTCCACTTAAAAAGTATATTTAAAAATCCCTTCTAATCTTTTTTCATGCAGCCATAGGCTTCAATGTTCATGAACAATACCATGTGGCTGTCAGAAGTTCTTACATACCATTTCAAATAACTGGGGCTAAGATTTAAACACTTGACATGATATTTGGCCTCTGGCAAAGTCGATGGCATAAAATATGCATAACTCCATTGCCGTTTATAAAAATTGCAACATTTATGCAGGCTGCAAAACATAGTTCCCAGAAGCTACAGCAGAACCTTACACAACTTCTACAATCACTGCCTGACCAGGCTATATAAAATCAGGACTTCACTTGTGTTAGCTGTTCTCCGTGTCTCTGTAGCCCCTCCCTTTACACTCACAATCTACATAAAGGTTTGGTAGCCAATCGCCACAAAGGATAGGTTTCTGAAAGATTCTGAGTGGGCTACAGGCATATCCACAAATATTCCCTACTTTGGCTCAAAGAGATCTTCCTCCTTGGTCTTTGACCAGATTGAATGATGCAGCCTTTTTCTCACCCTTGAAACTTGCTGCAATGTCACATTTTGTGTCACAGCAGATCTTCCCTGCTCCTGTTGACCGATTTTGGTCACTGTGAACAAAGTCCTTCCATGGCCATTTCATTTTGTGCTGTTGGACTGACATGATGACAGGACCAAATTCCTGATAAGATCTATGGAGATGCAAATGCCCCCACACCTATATCCTTCTTAGAGATGTTGCAGTGACCTCCTGGCCAGGGTATTTATTCCTTACAGAGTTCTGAAAGGTAAGTCACCATACAGAGGCTCAAATCTACTGATCAAAGGACCCTGGGGAGCAGCTCACCTGTCAGACTATGTAAAACAAATATCCAGACATGGAGGTGGCTTGGCTATAGTTTGACAAGCAGATTGACCCAGGATCTGTACAGCAGTACTTACACTGAAAGGTGTGGATAGATGGCTAAACTCACTGCTATACCCATTTGTCCAAACTTGTCTCCTGCCCCCAGCTCTAGCACCATGTGATGTTGAAGGGCATAATTAATACAGTCAGTTTTCCCCACTGGCTGAGAAATCCCCCAATTCTTTCAGCTTAATAGCACCATTCACTGGCCTCATTCACGAAACAGGTGTGTAGACAGAGCAAATTATGCCAGTGTATTTTTTCACCCACAGATGGAAGGAAAACACATCAAACTGACATGCTGCACCACTAGACATTCTGGAGTCAGCCAAGGCAGATTGCCAAGATTGTCCTTTTATTCCAGAACTGAGCCCAGAGGAGCTGAGAGAAAGATTGTGATTGATGGGACCTTGTTTTAAGAGGCTAGGGCCCATGTGTCTTTACTGATTTTGCAACCTGCTGACGTAATGCAACTGGCCTACAGGAAATGTCAGGAATTCTCTCTACTCTTGCTTTTTCTCCTTCTGCTTGGTCCCCTATTCAATGATGACGGTAATTGCAAGGGCAGGAGGCTCCACCTTTTCCCCCATGTCACACAGCTGAGCCTGAACCGGGTTTGCCATTGGCTCTTCTGCAAGTGGAGAGCTCAGAGGGGGAGGCTCCTGCGTTGGTGGGGGAGGCCCAGTGGCCCCCTCAGGATGGCTCCTACTCTTGTGCGCAGTAACATTGTCCTTCTTCTCAAACTTCTTGCCACAAAGGTCGCAGGAGAACTGGTAGAAGGAGTCGGCGTCATGCTTTTTCATGTGCCAGTTCAAGGATGCTTTTTGGCGGCAGGTGAAACCACAGATCTCACACCTGTGTGAAAAGAGAGGGGGGATTCACCAAAGAGGAAAGGGGGCTGCCAGAAACAGATGATAAATCCAGCCTTGGCTCTCCCCACCACCCTCCTCACAACAGAGAAAGATTGTCTGTGTACAACAGGTCAGGCAATTCTTTCGTTGGCTCTGGCGGAAGCAGAACAGAAAATCAGTACAATGTAAGATTGTACTGGTAACCTCAGGAACAGCCAACAATTCAAATATCTCTGCTCCCTATGTGGAAGATAGTTGGTTTTTTTTTTTTTTAAACCTGTTAAGTTAATAGTGCCACCATAAATATGAATGTTGCGGTGATCATAAGTCAAGGACTACCTGTATTCATGACTGAAGCCTAGACAGTGAGGTTGAGAAAACCATCTGTTTTATGATTTACTGGGAAGGCTTCTCAGTTGATGATTGTGAGAAGGAGGCTGGATTTCATGAGTGTGATCCAGCAGGGCCCTCTGATTGTGCTTAAGTCATTTCTGCAATAGGGAAAAGCATTGTGGGGGCATACTCACTGTAGGGGTTTTTCTCCGGTGTGGATCCGCCTGTGGATAATTAAATTACTGCTTGTTCGGAAGAAACGGGCACAGAACTCACATATGTAGTCCCTTTTATCTGCAAGTAAAGGGCACAATAAGTCACTGGTCAGCCTGATCCTAAAGGCACATCCTTCATAATAGATATGGGCAACCTATAGATCTTTTCTCCCCAGTACTACAACCAGGGCTGGTCCAAGACATTTTGATTTAGTCAGACTGCAAGGACAATGAAAGCTATTGTTCAAAACTTTTTACAGGCACTTTTAAACACATTAGGATTAAGGAAAACATAAAGAATTAAAGGAATTGTACTACTAAAAGACCCCAGAAACTTATAATATAAAACCTAAGTGGTAGAGAAATTTATGAAGTTATTACCCTTGGATCATCTAAAAGAATAGATTGATTAATTTTGGAATATAAGGACTCCTGGACATTGGAATTATAGTTTCAAAAGTGATTCTGGTTTGAAAAAAATTTGTTGGATAATTAGACAGAAGGAATAGAATAAACAATAACAAAGATGAGTGGAATATGTAAAGAAAGTGTTGGAACTGCAGAACATAAAAGACACTATGAAGATTTGAGGACATTTTGAATAAAATACGGAGCATGGCAGAAGAGCTGAAAATGGAGACACAAATAACTGAAAGAAAACAAGAGATCCAGGAAGAGGAGGAGCCAAATGGAAGAACAATCAGAAAAATAGAACAGATGGAACAACAAATAAAAAGAAAGGATAAAAAGGAAATAAAACTTAAAATGATAATGATTGATGATATAAATCAAGGGGAGAGTATTTTAAGGGAAATGCAAGAGGGAATGAAATTTCAGGGAGAATGTTTTGAGAGGATAGTGGTAAAAGTAGATAAGTGGAAAAAGAGACAATGGAATATAACAGAGAAGGGAGGAATGTTTAAGAGGAATGGTCAAAAAAATGATAGAAAATGGGAGACAAGCTAGGAAGTGATTAATTAATGCTTTAATGAGAATGAGAGATGATGGCTGAAAAGGAAAAAGATAATGATTCCACATGAATGTGTGCACTATTACACAAGATATACAATAGTTAACTGTAATAAATATGAAACTAATATTTTATTATAGGATTATTACTAAAGATATATAAATGCTAACTGTAATAAACATGAACATTAATATTTGTTGCAGGAAATGAAATAACATGTGGAATCTGATAGACAAAAATAATATAGTGAAATATAGTATTAGATAAAAGTGATTATATTATTATTAGAATTGCATAATTTGCTAAATATAAAGAGGATGAATATTATTTTGTTTGTACTATAATGAGACTAGAAAAGGACTTTGCTTCTAATATAATAGTAGCACAACCAAGAATCAAAAAGGGGATAAATATTGGAAAATACAAATTAATATGAATTTATGGTTATTATAATTATATAATTTGTTAACAACTGCAAATATGACTATTAATATAGCATTTATAATAAAAGAAGTGATGTCAAGAATACAGAGGTTGACACAAAAATAGCACATGGGAATACTGAATAATTAAGATTGATAAAATTGTATTAATATCAAAATATACAAGAATGTTAACAGTATCAATATGAAATCATTGTTATGTTTGTTCTAAAATGAAAAATACCCTGGAACCACACTGTTTACAAAATGATATGTTTGTAGAAATAAAAAATGTATTTTTTTTTAACAGGCACTAGACGGATGAAAGACACATTGTTAAGACTGCTCACCACTGTGCAGTTTCTCATGTTCCTTGAGATGTTTCTTGAAGTTGAAGGATTTGCCACAACTTGGATCAGAACAGGTAAAGGTCTTTTGGTGAACATGCTGGTACTTCTTATGGTGCTGGAATATGGAGGAAAAAATAGCTCAGAGGGAATATAACACTCTAAAATCTGTACTGCTCCTTAGCTCAACCTTTTCTTCATTACGGATTCCCTTAAAATACCTTTTGTGGCCATGGACCCCCAAGATTTAAGATTAAAATCATAACATTTCTTCAAGCCTTGGTGGATCCCCTGTAATGACATTGTGGGGTCCCCAAGGATCTTGGACCAGAGGTGAGAACCACTGGCATAGATACCGTATATACTCGAGTATAAGCCGAGTTTTTCAGCACATTTTTTTGTGCTGAAAAAAAACCCCTCGGCTTATACTCGAGTCAGATTCCCTTGTAAGCATGGGGGTAATCGGAAGCAGAAAAGTTCTTGCATGAGGATGTATTGTTGCAAAGGAAACACGGAAGCAGGGAAGCGGCTGCCCAGCTCCGGAGCTCCACACCATTTTTTTTTTTTTTTAGAGGGAATCTCATTTGACTATAAGCCGAGAGGGTTTTTTTCAGCACAAAAAATGTGCTGAAAAACTTGGCTTATACTCGAGTCAATAAGTTTTCCCAGTTTTTTGTGGCAAAATTAGGTGCCTCGGCTTATATTCAGGTCGACTTATACTCGAGTATATACGGTAATCCAAAAGAATCTTTTTTTTAAAGTAACATATGGCATACAGATGAGATTCTATAGTAGCTGGATCATGCATCCCTTCTATTTCTCTGGATGATGCTTCTAAAGTAAAGGGGGAACTTTTCCTGGTATCAGTTCTAAGATTAGTAGTTTTGTATTAACTTCAGTACTCCTAGTCCAGCAGATGCCAACAAACGGGGCATAACCCTGTTGCTTGCCTCCAAAATACTGACACTTTGGAAAATTTAAATGAAACATGGAAGTTCTGTCAGTCACCTGTATCCAGCCCAAAAGGCTGGTGACCACTGCCTTTTCTCCATCACTTACATTCAAGTATTGGCGATTGGAGAAAATTTTCCCACAACCATCATAGTCACAAAGGAGAATTTCTCGCTTGGCTGCCTTCCTGTGAAGAAAGGCGAAGACAGAAGAGACAGGGAAGCCAAAAGGAAGAGGAAACATGTCAAATCTCCAGGCTGAAGATACGCAACAGAATTGTAGAACTATTTAACACAATCTTTGGGTACTTTCGCTCAACATACAGAAGAATTTTATGGATATCTCTCCCACCCCAATGGAAACAACCGTGGATTGTTTAGAGATCTTGATGGGTCAAATATAATATGGACAAAGAAAGTTAAATATCTCATTTTACTCAAATTGCAGCCAGTGTGATTTTAATCAAATTCATTTGATAGTAAAATAAATTAATTAACAGTTTGGGGGAAGCAGCTTTTCCCAAAATATTTCACGACATGGTTTAGTCTATAACTCTTGAAGTCTCCTCGATTCCAAAAAGAAGGCAATTACAATAATCCATTAGGTTTTTTGAACAACTTTTGTAAAGGTGTCCTGAAAAGCTACAGTGGGCCTTCCTAGCTGCTCTTCCCCTTCTTTGGATGTTGTAGTTGTTCCTTTGGGTGCAGCTGCTCCATCTTATTCTAATGAGCAAGAGCCATGGTGGTGCAATGGCTGGAATGCAGTATTGCAGGCTAATTCTACTGACTGGCTTGAGTTTGATCCTGATCGGCTCAAGGTTGACTCAGCCTTCCATCTTACTGAGGTCGGTAAAATGAGAACCCAGATTGTTGGGGGCAATATGCTTGGTAAACCACTTAGAGAGGGCTATAAAGTACTATGAAGCAGCATATAAGTCTAAGTGCTTTTGCTAATGATGGCTTTTATTTAATGATGCATTGTTTTTGTTGTTGTAAACTCTTTTGAGCTTGTTGGACTAAACAGCATATAAACTGCTATTTGTAAGTAGGATGGATGGATGGACAAACAATAAATAGATAAAGAAGCCAATTATCCTTGCCAGTCTTGAAGCTTTAATCAACCTACCTAAACTCTCTATAAACTTCCCTTTCTACTTTTGGCCCATGTTGGCTGAGGATATCATGAGCAACCATGCACTTGAACTTACCTGATTCTCTTAGGACCAATTTGGGACATGTCTTCATCTCCTGGCTGTGCCTGCTTCCTGCAGCTAGAAAGAGAGATTGGGATTGATTTTTATGAAAATTGGGCTAAAATGGCAATAAAAAACATAGAATCAATCAATGACTCAAATCAGTCAATCATAAAACAAACATCTCTACACAAGGGCTTTGGACTCACAAATATGATCTTGACTGTTCTTAAAAGACCCAGTTATACTTGAATGGAAGTCTATCAAGAAATACCAGGACTGTAAATAGAATGGGAAGTTTGTAAAATATCCCAAAGGTAAGCAGTGCTAAATCACTTTTTGCCTTGCTATTGATTTATTTAATTTTAACTGGTCTATATTGTTAAAATCACTTGTCCTGAGTGTTCATTTGAGATGTTCTATTCCAATGTTTCTCAACCTTGACAACTTTAAGATATGTAGACTTATCCACATACCATTAAATTGCTAAGATTGGGAAGAACTCTTCTATTCCATAGGTTACCTGGTAGGAGTTGCATATGAAGTGGTGCACAAATGATTAAAGAAAGTACTTCCTTGTTGATCTCTCATTATTCATACTGAAGTGGATTCTGCTGCATTTAAAATCTTCTAATTTTATTACCTATCCAAGGAAGGCTGATAATTTTCATCTCGCAGGTCATCCATGTATATCATGTTATCTTCCTCTGTGAAATCTTCTGCTTCCTCCTCCTCTGGTGGACCAGACACTGATTCTGGTGTCTCCTCTAGCAGAGTTAAAATCCTGAAGAAAATACAAAACATGAAAGGCCAAGATTCAGTCCACAAAGAATTCTTCGTTCTGGATGAACCTTGGCTTGTTTAGTTTGGTACATTCCTCCTTTTCAGCTGATGTGGCTATTGGCCAAGAATGGTAGGAATTATAAGTCAAGTCAAGCCTCACATTATTTTAATTTCCCCTAGTGGTCATCCTCCTATATGGACTTCAACTCCCAGAATTCCCCTGCCAATATGTAGTCACTGCTGAACTTGCTGAACTATCTAGAGAACACAAAGTTGGGAAAGACTGAGGTAAAAAACTAAACCTGGAATCCTTCTGACAGAGATGCTATGAGCAGCAGTACCTGGAGGATTAGTTTCTTACCCTAGCTTTTGAAGCAATTAGAAAAATTATTAGGTTAGTTCCACTCCTACCTTCCCCCATGGTGATAAATGGGGGATGGAAAAAATCTGATACAACTCAAATTCTGCTATACAGCCTCATTGTGGCAAGGGTTGGTGGGTTTGTGTGTGTTCCTGGGAAGGATGAGGAAACAACAGAGACGAAATGCCAAGATAATATATTCTTAGCACGATTACTCAAGACATGAAGATCATCCTAGTTCCCAGCTAAAGCAAGCAGGACATCAATAGAGGCAGTTACGATATGATAAAATGCTGCACCAGATTATCACTTTAGTGACAATGGCAAAGGCATAACTTAGTACTGCACAGGATAAGGCAATATTTTCTACAAAGAAAATCCCATAAACAGCAAGATAAAATGATTGATGATGGGTTTGTCATGTCAGATGGCACTCAATATATTATGAGAAGTACTGATGGTGTTTAAGATGTGGCGAGATTAAAACCTTCAGGACTTAGTTGTGGATGTTGCCATACCAAAAAAGAAATCCTAGAATTACAAAGAGAGTTATGGTGAGAATATGGAACATAAGAACCATGAAAAACTCCATTAAATGAATGATGAAACAAATTGACAACACACACATTGACACCATTAGTTTGAAATGGATCAGAACTGGAGATATTCAGTCAGAAGATTACACTGCTTGTTCAGGATATGAAAACAAAGAAGGCTTGGCATAGCTTTCAGAGGCAGGAAGGATATAGCAGTGCAGTCGATGACCAAATAATAACACTGAATGTTGGAACAAATGGTGGAAATTGCCGAGAAGAGATGTCCAAGCCAAGAGAATGAAGATAGAATTAAAAAACTTAAACAAAGAATTTTATATTGATGTTAGAAGAGGCATGAAACCATACTACAATGATATCTAGAAACAGAAGATGGAAATAGATATGATAAAATAAGGAAAGACTTTCAAAAGTCAGACATATTGAGGTTGGACATATTCATGTATTGACTGTAGTAATGAGTGGACAGGCTGAGATCATTCTGGAAAGGTCTATGTATATGATTGCTAAAAGTTGACATCAACTAGAAAGCACAATCAATCATTAAAAATGTCCAAACCCCAAACATTTAAGGATATACATTTAAAAATTTCAGGAATTTATTCTACAATCATAATAATAATAACAATAACAATAACAATCACACACACAAAGGAAAACCAGAAATAAATTTTTATACAGAATGGTTGTGGAAGTTCATTATGAGGCCTGAGGTCATTATTCTTCCTCAATGTTTTTCCAAGATGTCTTTTGAACCAGGTTTCTTTGCCAAATGTCATTTTTACAAAAGACACTGTCAATCTTGTAAATCTGAAAGCCATTTGCCCTCAACATCTAGCATGGCAAGCAAGTTCCATTTTGGACCTTGCTATGATGGCATGAGAGAAGAAATGTACCTTTCTGGTCCTGGAGCTTCAGTGCTATCTGGAATCTCATCTGGTGCAGCTTCTACATGAGAAAACACAGCAGTGTCAAATTGAGAGAAGAGAACCTGCAGTCTTTTTAAGGTAGTCATTTAAAAGGAGCTTGGATGCTGAAACTCAACCGTGGACATAAAATCACTTCCAAGACTATTTCTCTAGCTCATATTTCTTTTTTAAAAAATATATCTACTTGGTTCACTTTTAATAGTCTCTTGCCTGGTTAGCACTGGTGAGTAAGAATCTCCTTTAGGGGATCAGACAGAGATGTTTTTGAAAACTACAAAGGATTTCCTTAGGTTAATATTCCCTATAAGTGCATTTGTTTGGTTTTTTTATTCAACATCAGTGACGTTCCTTCCAGTCTCAATATATCCCATTTCCAATTTCAGGCTGCCTTTCTTTTTCAAAATGCATGTCCCTTGCCCTAAGTGTTGTAAAAACTAGAGTCTTAATTTTAGTGTGGGGAGGAAGAAAGATTTGATTCCTCACTGATATTTTGCAAGGTTTTCTCTTTCTAAGTAATTTTGGACTAAGATTATTTAGGATTACTGGACACATAGTAAAAGTGTTATTGACAGGCTCAAAACCTTCATAGAAATAAACTTCTAGCCACAACCCAGATATCCCACAAGAAAAACCTGACCCTGGCCCACTTCTGCCCCTCCTGCATCCTTTGCATATCCTACCAACCGGACGCCTTTGCCCAACACAAGTCTAGCCTTCCAGGTTCCCAATTCCATCAGTGGCTCCTCTACCCGCTTTCCTCACCTCTTTCATCCGAATTTGTATTGCACACTAATTCTGTCTCCTTGTCCAGACCTGGCAGACTGGCAGGAGACAAACACATCGTCCTCTCTCTGTCTGTAACACATTCCTCGTCCTCTTGGGAAGATGGTTCTGGCTCGTCCACAGGACAGGGCGAGCTGGAAGCAAGTGCTAACGAAATGGCATGGGCTGCTGCTGCCTTGCGGAGGGAGCGCCGGCATCTGGTGACCGGAGAGGGTGGGGAACTAAGTTTGGTAGTGTTTGCTTCCTCCTCTTGCTCCTCTCTGCCACCAGCAACTGTTTGGCAAAAGGGTGGCGGGCTGATCTTTGAGGCAGGGAGACTCCAGGCGAAGGTGTGACCAGCCAGGCACTCCCATTCCAGCTGGCTGCAGACTCTCTCCTGCTCCAGCACAGCAGTCTTCACATTAGGGATGAAGCCACATTCCTGGCTGTGGTTGTGAGAAAGGACAACCAGACATTGCAATGCCTCCGAAGGAAAAGCGATGGGATCAGCACAGGAGCTGTCTGATCCTGAAGAAAGGAAGAGAAAAAAAAAGAGACTCAGCTTTAATGGGGAAGCAAAACTTCAGTGTGAAATTCCCCATCCTTAAGTTCTCAATTCTATTTTTGATCTCAAAAGGAGAATAGCAATAGCGCTTAGACTTATATACTACTTCATAGTGCTTTACAGCCCTCTCTAAGAGGTTACAGAGTCATGCTATTGCCGCCAAACAATCTGGGTCCCCATTTTACCCACCTCGGAAGGATGGAAGGCTGAGTCAACCTTCAGCCTGGTGAGATTCAAACTGCCAAATTGCAGTCAGCTGGCAGTCAGCAGAAGAAGCTTACAATACTGCATTCTAACCACTGCACCACCATGGCTCATGCAAACAGAAACTGAATTTCAGTTCACGGAACTATATAATTACAGATAGTCTTTGACTGATAACATTCAGTGACTGTTTGGAGTTACAACAGCACTGGAAAAAGTGATTTATGACCACTTTTCCACTTACAACTGTTGTAGCATCTCCATGGTCACGTGATCAAAATTCAGACATGTGGCACTTTACTCACATTTATGACGGTGGCAGTGTCCCAGGGTCGTGTGATCCCCTTTTGCGACCTTCTGACATGCAAAGTCAATGGAGAAGCCAGTTTCACTTAACAACTGTGTTATCAACTTAACAACTGCTATGATTCACTTAATAACTGTGGCAAGGAAGGTTATAAAATGGAGTGCAACTTGCTTAACAGCTGTCTTAACAACAGAAAGTTTGAGCTCAACTGCAATCATAAGTCAAAGACTACCAGTATAAGCCTATTCTAGGCTATAGATAACCTGTAAGGACATTTACCTGTTTTCAATACTGAGGCATGTGAACTGTACCTACAAAAGAAAGATAAGAGGAAGAGTGAGCAGATAGAACAAATTATGCTTCTATATGAGCAGTAATAATCTCTAAACCACATCTAGCATACAAGACAATTTTAATAATAAAAATCAGCAGCACTGGAACCTTCTCAAATGTGGAATTTCCATGGACTTCAATTGTCAGAATTCTGAGGAGTAACTATGCCACCTGTGGAATTTTGGGAGTTGACGTCCACTTATCTGACAGCTGCCAATTTTAAGAAACACCAAACATTTCCTACTGTTTCTGCCAGCTTCTCCTTTAAAATTCCCCATGCCATTGAGAATTAGAATTAGAATTCTTTATTGGCCAAGTGTAATTGGACACACAAGGAATTTGTCTTGGGGAAAATGCTCTCAGTGTACATAAAAGAAAAGTTTAAAGACTGGAACAAAATAGGAACAGGAAAAAGGCGTTAGAATATCCCAAAATGAGAATGGGAGTGGCTGATGATGAGAGTGACTCTTTCTCTGTGAGCTTATTAATATGTTTTCTACACTGTGAAATCTCAACTTGATATTCTCTTTCTCTAAAATAGCAGAAAGATTGCAAGATTTGCCCCTAATGAAGCAGTTCAATCTCCCATTAAAGTAGCATGAGGCATGTCATCCAGCCCTTCACTTAAATTCATAGACTCTAATGTTGAATGTTTACTTAATATTTGGACAAAACAAACAGAAGTAGAAATAATCATTGCTCACAAAGTCTCACCTGTCAAGAAGATATTTCGCCAGCTGGGAATGGAGAGAAAAACCCAGCTGCTCTTTGAGCTGACACCACTGCTCCAGCTGGCTTCCGATACGGATTCGGCACTTGCTGCGTCGGGCATCCAGCTCTTTACGTTTCTGCTTGCGAATAATCTCGGAGGCCCGCTGGCGGCGCGGGCGTCTATGCTCCATCATCTCACTGAACTGGACAGATGAGATTAGGAATCTGCATAGAATAATCACTGGATCATAAGTACATTACATGCCCACAAAGAGAGATTTGTCTCCAGCCATAGTTGAAAGGTCCAGTGGATCTGGCAAGCATGGACAGTTCTGCCTTCTGTTTCAGTTGTAGATATTCCAGCTGCGACTCCAACATCAGAAGACTTTAGATAACACCATTGCCTAGAAAAAGGTGATCAATGGGCAACCTAAGCTGAGGAAGAGCACAATATGTTATCCCATGTTCCTGGTCGCACATAAACAGCAACATCTCTGTTCCATATTGTAGACCCCAATTTTGGATTTTTGTCACTAATAATTCTGAGTTAAGAGCACCCCATGCTCATGGAAGAGAGCTATAGTATCACAACATAAAATGTGTTCCTACTTGGGTGCACATATATGTACGAAATTCATTTTGCAGCAAGCAAAATGCAAATCTCTGAAATAATGTGCTAGGCAGATATGGCAGCCAAACTATTATTTTTCCAAAGTCACCAGTATCACTTCCATACATTTATCTGATCACACTTTTTTCAAAGGTATGAGATGAATCTTCAAGAAGTGTCTAATAATAATTGTCAGCAGCCTCTTTTTTTAATTAAGAGTGAACTAAAGCAAAAGACAAGAAGTTGAAAAGGATGTTCCAGCACCTAGTGGAAAAGCCTCAAAATCTTTATCTAATCGTCTTAAAATAAGGTACACTAGATATTGTGAGTTTTTACTATTTATGAAGGACCACGTTCTACTGAATCCATCATTCTTTTATTTTTCCACCCTCAGGGGCATATTTAACTCGGGAACAACAAGATCGACGTAGTTAAACCTGAGAGCCTAATCAGGAGACAAGATTTTAACTTGTACCAAGAGCTACTAACACAAGCAATTGAATACCAATTCTGCGCTTGTTAGTATCAAATCTCGGCGGTCATTCCGATCCTCTCCTCTCTCCCTTCAAAGTGGAATTTGCACCACCAGCTGGTCGCTTTGGAACACGCAGCGCGCGCAGAAGTAGAGGGGTGGGGGGGAAGAGGGGGAAGGCGGCAGTTCTTACGACTGCAAAGCCAGAGACGCACGGGCAGCTTTGGCTTTCCACTTCGTTCCACACGTTTCCATGAATTTACAGGCGGAAATCCCACGTTGTCCCAAGACTCTCCAGCGCCTTGCCAGGCGAGCTTTCCTCTCTTCGGGATAGTTTCAAAATGCCCGGCTGGGCCACGCGTGGCTCCTTTGCTGCTGAACTAGACGAGCGTGTCAGGAGCGAGCCGAGATTTCGCTCATGGCAACCTCGAGGATGTCCGTCCAACCGTCCAGTTCCTTAAGGGTCAGGTTGCAAATCCCGGATAGACTGGAAAAGCCGCTGCACCGCTGATGCGGAGGCAGTTGCCGCCCGGCTTGGAAACGGCAACGGCACAGGAAGGGGCTGGATCAACTCTCGGTCAGAGCCGTGCGCGGCTTGCAACGGCGGGCGAATCGGAAGAAGCGGTAAAAGGAAAAAGGCGGCCCGCTGTAAACTGAGCTACGGGTGCGTTTAGTTATCCATTAATTTATTCCCCTGGAGAAGTTCCGTCGCCGAAGTACTTTTCCACGGGCCCGATAGCTGCTTTCAACCACGAGCCCGACCAGAGTGAGAACTTCCACATCCTAGACTGGGTTCGGATTGTTTCAGCACTCTGGCTAAGTCGTGACACTTAGCAGTCGAAGCTAACATTTAGAAAGGAGGAAAGAGATCGGAACCTTGCCTTGACAAGAGCCATGTCCTTTGGTGTAAACTGTAATATCCTTTCAGGTGGAAAAGGCCACAATCATTAGGACTTTCTTGGTAGTCTCTTTTCTCTGTATTTTTTAAAATCAGGCTAACGTTGATGTCTTGAAGTATACAGTCACTGAATCCAGTTTTGAACTCAAGATATTGGTCTTATTTCTTTTTAAATGTAACCATCAGTATTCAACAAGCTCTGCTTTCATAAATGATTGTATGAAAACCTCCCATTTTAGTTCACTGTTCACAGCCTTTCATAAATGGTGGCCAGAGGTGATATTCAGCAGGTTCTGACTAGTTCTGGAGAACGGTAGCAGAAATTTTGAATAGTTCGGAGAACCAGCAAATACCAATTCTGCCTGGAGATTTTACAGTATCCTTTCCCTGCCACGCCCACCAAGCCACGCCCACATAACTGGTAGTAAAAAAATTAGAATCTCACCACTGATGGTGGCGTGTATGAAAAGTCAATTTAGGGGAAAACATTTCATCATAGTCCTCAAGTTACAACCACAGCTAGCACCAGAACTTCCATTGCTGAGCAAGGCAGTTGTTAAGTGAATCATGCCTGATTTTAGCATTTAGCACTTAGACTTATATTCCACTTCACAGTGCTTTTACAGCCCTCTCTAAGCAGTTTACAGAGTCAGCCTATTGCCGCCAACAATCTTGGTCCTCATTTTACTGACCTCAGAAGGATGGAAGGCTGAGTTAGGATCAAATTGCTGGCAGTTAGCAGAATTAGGCCTGCAATACTGCATTCTAGCCATTGAGCCACCACAGATTTTACCTCCTCTTTTGCCATGATTGTTAAGCAAATTGCTGTGCTTAAGTGAATCATGGAAGTTATTAAGTGACTTTAGCTTCACCTGTTGACTTTGCTTGTCAGAAGCTGGCAAACTGATCACATGACCCAGAACACTGCGACCATCATGAATACATGCTGGTTGCCAAATGCCTGCATTTTTATCAGGTAACCATAGGGATGTGATGGATGTAAGGGTGAGGAGCAGTCAGAAGTCACAAGTGCTATTATAACTTTGAATTGTCACTAAATGAAAAGTTGTAAGTTCAGGACTATCTGTGGATTTTTAAAATATTCTCTTGTCATCATCCTGCACAGTGTTATTTGCAACAAAACAATTCTCATATCTAGTCTTAGAAGTCTGGAGATGCTGAGTCATACAATAGAGCTGGTATGTACAAATATTCAGCCTGACTAGATGCCTTTCACTGGAGGGTAGAAAGGCAGTTTCTACTGTTTAGAAGGGCAGAGATTTTTTCCTACCTAGTTTGAACATTTTTATAACTTCCTTTCTGTGACATTAATTTTAAGAATTCTGACTTATGGCCATAATGGAGCCTGCATATCTGACCCAATTTTACAACCTTTTTTGCAGTAATTGTTTAAGCAAACCAATGATTTGCTGTGGGTGCAGTTTTGCTGGTTTTGCTGAAAACCAGAAGTTTTCAGCCAATTGTCAACAAAACCTTGTAAAACACAATTATGCAGTCATGAATGCTGCAAATGGCTGTAAATGCAGCCATGTTGCCTAGTGCCCAAAGTCTGGTCATATGACCGGAAGTGGGATGACTGTTGGAATCTCAAATCCAAGTTTTAACTATATACACTTGAAATGGATCCAGTGCTAGATGTCCAGATATCTTTTCCTGCAATTCAAATCTTTCTCCAATTTTTCTGTCTTTTGTTTCTTTTTTGTTGTATAAATTGAGATTAGTATGTTACTTGTCAAAAACTGGTGTTTCCCATAATTTTGTTTTCTGTCTGGCTATGGAACAATGCCCTTTCAAGATCCATAATTTCAGATGGATGATAAGCAAGATGTGGAAAAATTATGGTTTTTGCTGCTTATTGTAATTTTTGGAAAAGTGAAAACATTCCGCTGTCATAATAATACTAATTGTTGATAAGAAAGATTTAAAAAGTCTGAATAGTGAATGTGGCAGTAACTGGAAACAGCAGAATAGAAGAGAAAGAACTATTGAAGATAACAAAATACACAGACTTGCAAATACTGTAGAAATAGAATGGCGGTGGCAAAAGAAAACAAAGGAAGTACCAATAGTAATATGTGCCTTGGGTGCAATCCCAAAACAACTGCAACATCACTTGAACACCATGAGCATTGACAAGTTCACCATCAGTCAATTGCAAAAAGCAGCTTTAAAGGTATCATATGATGATACCTTTAATTTAATCAAACATTCACACCTGTCTATCCCAGGTCCTTGGGAAGGACTCAATAGGTGGACAAAAATTCCAATTGCAGTCTGAATATCTGGCTGTGTGACAAACAATAATTTATTAAACAACTCAATGATTCTACAGTGAAATAAAGTACAATAAAATAAAAAAATAAAGATTAAAAAATGGCAAGCATGATGAAATAAGGGATCTCACTCTCCCACATCAAAGGCTGGAGTGAAAGGGCAGGCCTTCTCGGCTCTTCTAAATAACAAAGATGGCAGGGGGCTCACACAAAGTTTAGCTCAAGTAAAAACTTTGCATAGTGGGCAGGGATTATATAATTTTCATAGAAACGTCTTTCTACTCAGTCTTTCCTGAGCTGCATGGATTTAGAAAGATAGTAATTTCACTTTTTTTTTCATTGAATATGCTCAGGGCATCTTAGAATCTGGGAAATCAGCATTAAACAATGTTGTTTCTCAGTAAAATAAACCATGTTTTATTCTAATTTCAAATATTAGTCTGCAAATTGGGATTTCTAGTTCAATTCTGCAGTAGAATGAAATTTGCAGATTGTAGGGGAAAAGATAGCTCAGTGATGAAACATGTTCTGCTTGCAAGTCATTCTCAGTTCAAATTGAAAATACTAATGTAATATTTATATTTTACTACTTAAGCGTCTTTAAAAAAAACTCTAACATTATACCATAGTTTGGTTATTCCTTCTTAGGGGAGAGTTTTGGAAACTAAAAATTAACACTTTATGATCTGTGAAAATTGATGCACAGTGATTAACATTTCTCATGGCTTTGCTTGAGTTTCATCTTGATCCTGCCAAGGGCCAATGAGCAGCTAAGGTGTCACAATGTCTTCTGTTGGCCCCTGTCAAAGAGAAAGCTTAAGAAGTACATTATGAGGTACTTCAACCTGATTGGATATCCTTCCTACATCAGAACTTGCAACTCTTAGTACACCAGCAGACTATCAGTGGGATGAAGAGCACTGGAGCTCCAGACACTAAATGAAACCAAAACTCAAAGCCACAGTGGCTTTCTCAGGTGGAAAAAACTGAAACAACTTGGAGACATTGGGGCAATGGCTGCTGCTCGCAGACCAAAGTGCAGGGCCCGGTTTCCAAGGAGAAAGAAGCAGGCCAGAGGCAGGAAGAGAACACACCGAAAGCTGCTGCCAAAGTACAGAAAGCAACGTAGAAAACAAGGCAAGCAGGGCACAATAACGGTGAGAAAGCTAGGTGGGCCTCAAAAGCCAGGTCTGAAGCGACCTTATGATGAGTTTGTTTCTAAAGTCCTGCGTCGGCTGCATCGGGACAAAATACCCATATCGACCAAAGCAAAGGGAAAGATGATCTCCTTCATAAGGAAGTTCTACAACAATGTGTCTGAGAAGGCCCAGTGTAACAAGAGAGTCAAGCAGAGCTGTACCATCGGCTCCAAGGAATTACAAAATGCATTAAAGAAAGTGATGAGCAAAAAGCACGCCATGGATTTGGTCCAAACTATACGCAAAGAGCCACGACGCTATTAGAACTGCTCCTTCCTATTTTCTTTGGTTGGCCCTTGTGACATCTACAAACAAGAGGAGGGGAGAGTGAGCCAGCCTTCAAAACAACGCCCCGCCCCAAACATCTAGTTTCCGCCTGATGAAAAGTCCAGACAATACTCTAAAGATACTGATAATCTCTTCCTTTTTGAGGAACATCTCACACAAGCACAGGAACCAACAACCTTCTGACCTGCAGAAAACTCCTCACATCACTGGAAAAAAATCTTTGGAAAAGAAACATCTTATTCTTAGGAGTATAATAAAATGGGGTTTTATCAGGTCATTTAATGCTCATGTGGTTTTTCTTTCCTTTTAAATAATGTCAGCTATAGTGTGACTTGAACACAAACCCTCTTAGAGCACACTGAACATTAGAGGGCAGGGGAAAAAAGGTAGATGTAGCACTTCTGAAAATCGTTATGAGATTTGGAGGTTCAGTTAAAGTCACCACCTAGTGAGTTTATCATGATTACCCAAGTGGAAGATTTCATACTTGCAACATAACTTGAATATCTGGGTTTGTTTAGGAACAGGAATGGGATTACCAGGTAACTACGGTACTGCTTTGAGCCCTTAAAACCCTGTTTGTGAATGAAAATGATTGGTGTGTCTCAGAAGTGCTAATGTTCTCCTTCCTAGGAAACAATCGGCATCAGCCATCTTACGTGGCTTCTTGAAACAAACAAATTTAGATGCAGATTGTTCAGTCTATTGAACTGAGAACGAGGGGTGTCTGCAGGGGATTAAAAAAAGTCAAGATGGTGAGGCCCTTGCCTTTTATATGAACATAGTACATGTGTTACCAGTAAAAACAACTGCATTCAGGTGGTTTATGGGATGGGTGGGAAATGGTTGAGGATACCTCGGCTCCAAGACAGAGGCCATCTTGATCACAATCCATTTATTGAATTGATTCTACCTTCCTTAAATCCAAATTCCATATCTGCATGACCTTGGACTTATTCTGAAGCTATAACTAATTGCTAATATATCTACCTCATGTTTTTTTTATTACACTTACATGTGTCTACATTAGTTACCATTGTATAATCAGCACATCTTTTCAGTCTTTGTACCCAGACCAGATTTCCAAGTTAAATCATACACCATGGGTTTGAAAAACATGACAAAAAATGGTTTAGATTGGGGCAGGACCTGGCAATATGAAGAAAACAGGAAGCTTGTTAACACTGTAGTAATTTCCTAGTGGCAGTGCCAGTTCAATACTTCCTGTTTGAGAGAAAACATAAGGGTAGCAACCTATTCATGAACGAATAGCAAAGTACGTTGTGGCCTACAATGTATTTTAGGATACATTGATGAAGGGGGTGAAACCGCACTGTATTATATCATTGTATAGCAATGGCTGTCAAACTGTTGATCATAACCATTTTAATGTAACAATGACACCTTAGCTATAACAAAGGCAAAGATAGCTAACCAATCAGGTTTCCCTGTATAGCCCCATTTGCATGATGCTGCCTATAAGTGACGTTGTCTCAAAAATCTGACAACATTTCAAGCAGAGGCTTCAAGAGAAAAGAACAATGGCTGCCAGACAGCAAGGCAAAAGGAAAGCCAGAGATGCAAAGAGAAAGAAAATCCAAAAGAAGCACCAACTAGCTAAGCGGAAGCAGAAGAAACTGCAGCCTAGGAAACAGAAGGAGCACCAGGCTCATCCTAAGCGTCGGGTCAAGCAATTCTCTGCTGCCAAGCCAGCAGACGGTGGTCCAGAGAGGATCTGCTCCCCAAGGCTCTTTGCCGCCAAGGTCTTTCGGCAGATGCCCAAAGTGAGGATGGAGATCAAGGCCAAGAGCCTGATGAAGACCTTGCTGACCGATGTCTATGACCACGTGGCCACAGAGGTGGAGAATTTGAGCCAGAAGAACGAGCTGTCCAACATCAGTGGCACAGATGTGCAAGCTGTCTTGAAGGAAGCCGTGACAAAGGAATTGGCCAAGCACTCAGCAGAGCCCATCAGCACTGAATGTGCTTAGAGAAACATCTTCCCTTCTCCCCTCCCAGGGAGCCAAAGGGAGAAGATCGAACATCTGTAGAAATATCCAAGAAACTTTAACCTATTTTCCTGCCCTTTTAAGCATAAGAAATCCTGCAGTCTACCTTTCCTAAGGCACTATCTTTAACCTCCACAATTGTTATTCTGGAAAATAGGGAGGAAGTTAAGTGATGAGTGGACAATGGCCTGTATTTTTGAAGATAATTTCATCAGCCTCTAAGCCAGAACCTCAAGGCTAAGAAAGATGAGCCATGGTTAAATAGATGTTTGAAATAATTGTGAGGTGTTTGCAAAAAGAGAAAGGAACATCATATTATGTACAATATGTATGTATCGCCAATAAACCAGGATTTTAGCAACTATATTCCATGATGGCATGTATGATTTTTTTTAAGTGTTTTCTTCTCTCTTTAGGGGATTTGTCTCTGGGTTTTTATTTTAATCAGCTACCTAAAACTTTGACTTAAAGTTGATTTAAAGTTTGATCAACTTTGACTTAAAGTTGTATCAAAAGGATAATACTAGGAATTCGCAATAGTCATGCCATGAAAATGAATTTTCGTTGAGTTTGTCCTACAGCCTGTCAAATTACGGCTGTGACCAACTTTATAATAATAAATATCAGTAAATTAGGAAGTGGCAGCACTAAGGATAAAGGAGTCTTAATTTTACCAAAAAAAAAAAAGAACCCAGTTGGAACTGGAACTATTTGGCCCCAGGAACGATAAACATCGTCCAAACATCTAGTGGCTTGATTGGGTGTTTAATTTACCAATTGTGATGTAGTTATGCTTTGTGGCTGCCTAGATATTTATCGTGGCGTATTAATTTTCCGAGGAAACGTGAAAGAATCTGCATGTATCACAACCGATCTACAAAAATCAAATCTGTGTTTGTGGAACAAAATGGAAGCATAAAGGGCCTGTTTTCAGATACCTAGTAAGTGAGTGTCAGGATGGCCGAGTGGTCTAAGGCGCCAGACTCAAGGCTTCGTTCCTTCCCTGTGCTGGGTGTTCTGGTCTCCGAATGGAGGCGTGGGTTCAAATCCCACTTCTGACAGCTCCCTTTTTTTTTCTCTAATATTATATGGAGCTTTTTTCTCAGTATATGTCCAACAAAGGCGTATCAAACTTATATGTCGAGAAAATAAGTGAAATATACATTTTAAACATTTTTTCATCCTGACCGGACGCATTCACCTTTTATTTCATTTTCACTTTCCCTTTGCTAGCGAAGAAGCATTTTGCGGGGTAGAGAATTTAAGGTCGGATGCATAGAAAAGAATCCCGCTCCCCATTTCCCCTTTTCTTTTAAGATTCTGATCTCTGAATTTTAGAAATGAAAATCGCCAGCTCTTGCTGAATTCTTTATCCTAGCGTTTCATAGAAAATAAACCTCAGGTTATATTTCTGCTTGCTGGGAAAAACCCAAGTTTAAAGTTTCTGAATAATACTATATTTCATTGGGTCTCATTGTAATTTGACAGAAAATAGTTGCATTTATCAGAAGATATAGAATGCCCCATTTGGACTATGTCAGATCTAAAGAAAAAGCTTACCGCAAGTTCCCTGGTGGTCTAGTGGTTAGGATTCGGCGCTCTCACCGCCGCGGCCCGGGTTCGATTCCCGGTCAGGGAATGTTTTTGCTTACGAGAAGCCTCTTATTTTATTTTTAAAAGGTATATTTTCATACTTTACTATACATTTCTAAAAAACTGCTGTTACCAGTTGCCTCTATTTCAGCCAAAAGAAAGCAAAAGAAAAACAAAACCGATCACTCCTTGTCCTTCTAGAAATAATACGTTAATTTTCTTTTATTCTTACAGTTTGCTATCCTTTTAACCAGTATCCATGAGATGACTTATCAATTTTTTTTAACACGAGTGAATAACAATAATGTTTGAAGATTCGTCAAATTTGTATTTAAAACCTTGTATTTATATTTTCTCAAGAATAGAATATATTTTAAAATGAAACATATTAAAACTAAATATGAAATGAATGTGTGCATAGCAAATAGCTATTTTAGTAAGAAAATCCTTTAAATATCTTTAAAAAAGGAAAAGCTGAACAACCCTATTAAGAGATAAATTATTATTATTATTATTTTGTATTTAATTATAAATACAATATATACTTTAATATTTAAAATAGCATTAAATGCTTGATGATATTGCTGCTCAATGACATTTGGCTCTGCTTCCAGTTTCTACTCATATCAAAAATCTAGTTAGCACAATTTAAAAAAAAATGGTGTGAAGCCCATGATTTCAAATAAGTTGATTACTACATTATTGTGTGTTTTATTTATATATGAGTTTTCTATAAAATGTAAGCATACGCTTGTAAGAATTTCTGTAAAAAATTGCAAGAAAACTGTACAACACTCAGATGTAGAATAAGATTATAGTCTACTGCTATTAGGATAAACCATAAAAAGTTTGATAACATTCTGGTTCCTGCCTCTGATGTCTCATTTAGATTTTAATTTTTTTCTAATGTAGCCATGAAAGAAACCTTATTAATCCACAACTTAGCTGTTATGTTAGAGTTTGTCATGTTACATAATTATATTTTGGCTAGTCAGATTAAATAATAAGTTTCTTATGTTTAAGTTTTTTTATTTACTCCTGTAGATAAATGCAGTAACCTTAGCTGTGAGGAGCATTCAGGGTTGTCGTTTTTTAATGAGCGCTAAAATTTATCTCCCCAAAAATGTTACACCAAAAACGTAGAACTTTACCACATGAACACCACAAGTGAAAAAATGACCTTTTCTTGGTCAATCTGTCCAACATAAGGAAGAATAATTATGAAATATATGTGCCAGCCTTATAGGAGCCTATATAATCTTCCACTGCATTTCTTGCGTTGGAAGTGAGGTAAATCTTCCTGCTTTCCATAACTTCTGTTTATTTGTCCCCTGTGTGGGATTACCAAGATCAGTTTCCCAAACTTTAAACTGT